CTATTATAGTCCCACAAGAAGAAGAAAAATAAAGACAAACTGGTATAGTGATACATTTAAATCGAGTAACTCAACCCTCAACTTTTGCTTCTATATTGGTCTCTCTGTTAACTTACTACAAAAGCACATAACCAAAATTGAGTAGTCTCCTACGGCTCTTTCAAAATTCTCTGTAGCAAGTAAAGCAACTGCAGGTTGTACCACATGCTCGGGTCATTTGGGTGTATCCTTCACATGGTCATTTCCATCACACTCAGATTGATCACAGTTAATCGTCACAAATCTCAGCTTTTACCTTTTTGCTTCTTTTCTTTGACTTTTGATTCTTGGCTTCTACATTATTCTTGCGAGGTTTCTTTTTGCATCCTTCTTCTTCTCTAAATTTCTTTCTTCTGACAGCCAATGTTTCTATTTGATCTTCAATTTGGATATCGGCAGTGCTTAACAATGAATTTTCTGTGGGCTGTGCAAGTTCTGTTGGCACATGAATCATCTTGCAGAATTAGTATATCTAAAATTGATTAAAATCACAAAAGGAACTAATGTATGCATATCAATCAAGCAAGTAAAAGGACTAAAATCGCATGTATAAACGGATTAATATATACACATGGATCAAACAAGTGGGAGTCCTTCACTACCGCCTTATTTATTATGTTCCAAAATTTGCTTCAACACATTTTTCTAACACCAACACCAACACCAACATAAAAGTTTACCAACAGGGACAAAACTATACTGGAAGCAGAGAGCACAACTGGCCAGTGCAGCAAGATTCAGTTTTATTAGTATTGGCATTACAATTAATCACTAGATTTAAATTAAAAAAATGGTATTATATATAAAGACCATGTAAATAATTGTGTCAAAAAATTAAAACATAAGGTCCCTACGAACAGTAAATATAAAATCGTTAACTAATTTATTCGAACCACAAGAAAAAAAGTTCAACATCCATCAATGTCACCGTGAAACTAATTGCAATAGACGGTATGTTAGTTCACTGAACAAAATAGAGATGGAACGGAATGGCTTTTCAACAAGAATAGAAAAATTTTAAGATAGAATTGCAATTATTATAATGTTTAATAATAACATTTTTTTAAATAAAATGTTATAGTGTTTAATAAAAACTCATTCAGCTTCACTACTATATTTAGTGCTACGTGTTAAAAGTTTAAACAAAACTCTAATACATTGTTAATTATAAAAAAATTGTAGTAAATTGTAGAGGACTAGAGATAAAAGGATTAATTCCTTCCTTCCTTGGTGGTAATCTAAATTTATAACCCTCATCCATAGAAAACTTTATTTGTATTTATAATTCTCAACCAATTATGTTCTTCCAACAAAACAATGTACGCATCAGTCCTATAACAAGTAATAACTATTAGATTTCATACATATTCCTAGGCTATATAATGTACCAAACATGCCACAGATTGAATAATCACCGTAAAAAGAGCTACCTACTCTCAAATGGACAAACATGCAAACACAAAGAACAAGATTGATTCAATGCTAGTATTGCAATAATATTGAAACTGCTATGCAGAAGCATGATAGACAGGAACAAAAGAGCCATAAAAAGACAGCAATTTATAAAACTACTCTTCAACTCTAAAGCTGGAACAAAAACTACAGTGTTAAGATGCTGCTAACATATAAGCTATCAAAAAGACAGGAACCTATAAGACTAACCTTCAACTCCAAAGCTGGAACAAAGAACAACAGCATTAAGATGCTGCTTCAAGAAAACCTGCATGCAACAATGTAATCCTAAGCAGTTCAGTCATTTATATACTGTTATCAATTTGCAAGCAGAGTAAAATCATAAGTGCAAGGCTAACTCAAAAATTCCAATTCTGGAGCAAGAATCCAGAGCACCAAAAACAAATTCTTCACAGTTAACCAGGGCCATTGTTTGGCATTAGTTTTTTCATTACTTTTTGATAGTGTATCTATGATTCCTAAAAGCAAAGTTGATTTTCGTTATTATGGAATTGTGAATAATAGGTTCTTCCCTACCGATAAGGAAAGCTTGTAAATGCAACCATAAGACAAAACTTAAAATTAATGATTTCATCAAAAACTAATAATAATAATACCGCAGAAAGAAGCTGCCTTGAATTTATATCCCAAAAGCGCAAATAGCTGTCCAAACCTAAAAACAAGTCAAGTTCCCTATTAGTGGAAAGCAAAGAGTTTTTATAAGAGATCATGAACAATGTTTCCTGAACTCATAAGCAGAGATGCTTTTCCCAAGTATGTGTACAACTAATAATTTATGAATGAAGGCGAGGCAATTTCAATAGATAAACAAATGTTAGAGAATAATATACTTAGATTTCTTTATAATAAAGTAAAAGCTTATCCTTGTAGAAGCTTTGTAAGTAAGCATGAATGTATTCCAAAAATTGAGTCCAATTATCTGATGTCTATGCACCAAAAAGGGGGAAAAGAAAGATTGATATAAGAACCATATTACGTACCACATGATGCTATTACTGGATGTTCTGAGTGCCTAACTATTGATCTGATGCTTCCTGAGCACTTACCCAAAAAACATCCCAACAATTTCCCTACAAAACAGTTTCAGACAATTGGAATTAAAAAACATTAAAAAAAAAGATGAATGAGAAGAAATCAACAGCCTCAAGTCAAACATAAATTACCAAAATCTATAGCTATAAGCCCATAAAAACATCCATAGGATAAATAATTGCTATACCCACCAATTGTACTGTTGAGATACCGACAGAGAAAAGTGAATTTCACTATCATAGAAGAGTCCCATTGAGTGACATGTTCGGCACAAGGAAAAGTTACTTAACCCAAGAACCTTCTTGAATGACACTCGAGCAAAAAGATTCCTAACAGTAGGGGTATAACCTACTAATAAGATATAGCTAGGACAGAGAGAGGATTTCTATCCTATGTTGAATGAAATCTTTTCTTCAATTAAGTAGTCCCAGGACATAGACCAGATATAGATCAAAGCACAACGTATTTTCGAAACTGAAATTGACCACCTCAAACTAAGCAAAATATTCCCAAGTTGCACGAGAAAAATTTGAAGCCAAGTTTAATCCAACCAAGGTTTTAACAGCTCCTTTGAGATACTAAATTAAATAAATTATATAAATGCCTTTCAATTTGATTATAATGGCTCCGACGCAAAATCCAATTACGTGGCTATCCCGATCAATGGTGTCTTCAATGGCATTTGATCCCCGAAACACCAGACACCTGTCTTAACTTCAATGTCATCAATACATCTTCCATACTTTTCTTTAAAAAAAAATTGATTATAGCTACAAAATACTGTTCTATTTTATACAATTAGACAACTACCTTTTGATACTAACATATGTGAAGAGACTGTTAAATCAATGATTGTCAGCATAGCAATCAAAACTAAATTGACAAGATTAACCTAATTAATTCTCTCTACTTCACAAAAACTAGTAAACCCTTTCCCATTTTATCCTTACTCTAATCTGAATCATCCCTTTCTTCAGCCCCACACAAACACACCACCATGTCTCCTCTTATGTTCCCCTTTTCAAACCAAACCATCAAAATCACCCTCTCTTTTTCAAAACGAAAATGAATTGATGTCGTCTTTGAAGTTCTAATGTCACATCTCATCATAAAGCCAAAGGCAATAAAGGAGAATATAGGAAACTCGTAGGTAAAACATCACGCAGGACAGAATCTCGATATGCACCGCATTGAAAAGAAATAAAACCTTATTAATTTACTGTTGATTGTTGCATTCTCTATCTATACTACTTTAAATATGAATGTGTTTGTAAGCGAAGATTGAAAAGCTCTCCTGAAACCAGTTTCATGTAACTTACTCCCCTGATAACAAGCTTTTTATATTTATTTCCACAAATAACAAATATTTTAAATATAGTAGTACGATGCTAATCATCATCAACCATTTTGAGCAATTACTTGCACGACTTGTAGATTTTGTAGCAGCTTAAGCACCTTGTACTCATTCTTCTAATGTAGTCTCAATTGCTTCTTTTAATGCATTTATTGAGTTTTTAAGAACCTCTACATTAGTTGTCAAGGAAGCCAAAGAATTCTTGGTCTCTCCATGACCATGCTGAAGAGAGTCAACCTTTATGTTTAACTAAATGTTAGTCAACATTGTTTAAAGCATGTAGAGCACATGAATAATAAGACGTGCAGCAAAATAAAACGAATGCATAAAAGTACTAGGAAATTGAACAAATGAAAAGCTGCTATGAATGACCGAACAGGTTGCACTAGTCAAAAGTGAAAAATCTGAGACAGGACCATTCAGAGGTTGTTCGCGCATGACATCCAAACTCTCTGATCATCAAAGAGATTCAAGGCTTTGACTGAAGACATAGAGGACAGCACTTGCAAATTGTGAATATCTGATGAAGCAGCAAGTATATGGAGCTTTTAGCTGCAAGTGGTGTGTTTCCCAGCAGCTTTGGCAGCTAAGGATCAATGGATGAACTGAAGAGATTTTTCAAGGCCAATGATGGTGGCAGATTAAGTCACCAACCGGGGATTGTCGAACACCTAAATGCTCTATGGTTTTGCAATTCTTTTCCTTTTTTCCAGACGTTTGACATTGGATGTAGGGTCTTTGGATTTGGGAATTTGAAACCAACTCAACAAACTTTTGGCTTCAACACCAATTACTGACAGAATAATTTCTATCTACTAAGAAATTAGGAGAAAAACCTAGAGACCTGGATAACATCACATTACCGTTTCTTAGATATTACAGGTAAGAAGAAGATTCATTACACATCACATCTAAAGACTGATTGCACAACACAATCACAAAGCAAAAGCAAATTAAACTCCTCTTAACCTTGAAAGCATTACAAGTATTCGTTAACTTAAGTCTAATATAAATATTACTAGAATCCTAATAGGAAACTTAAGACAATGGAGTCCATAAATAAAATCCCAATGCTACTCAATTAAACTACTGTAACTCTGTCCTCATTATGCTACTTCTGACATGCTCAACCACTTGACTATTTGGCTGAGCTTCGCCTATATGGAGCAAGGTAATGCAGAATACAAACATTGTAGACTAAATGGTATAAGATATTTATGTAATTATGATCTTTATGTATTACTAAAAGAATTTAGCTTATTGAGGACTACTAAAATAGGTTTGTTATTAGTTCTGGGATTTATCTCTTAATTAATTGGAAAACCTTTTATATTATATTTTTCCTATTTAAGCATACCAGTCATCTGAGGTAATGTAGACATACTATAAATACACGGGTGATTCATCATTATTTATCAGACTGCTTATGAATAAAATCTGTTGATTTTCTCTCAATAAAATGATTCCTAACAAAACTGTGATTTGGCTGTTCCTACAGTTATAGTTGTTCGCAATTCCTGTAATTCTGGTTTTTTCTTTTTTTCTTTTTCGTTCTTTCAGAACCTTCTTTCATTGTGCTACATCACAAGGCCACATCGATATTTATGTATTGAACATGCAGAAATGCTATTAACTCCATATACCTGTGCGGGTGTCAAAAGAAGCAAGGTCTCCAGACCCATTTCCCACATATATCGTATAGCCATCTAGATCTTCAGCAATTGCTTTAATAGTCGTCTCCCGAAAATCAAATGATATAACAGGTCTTCGCTGAGCAGAAATGTCATAAACACGAACCTGCCATAGCCATTAGTGCAGGTCAAGATGTGAGAAAAACTACAATGAGGAAAAGTTAAGATTAACCATTAGCACTTTTGTTTTCAAAGAACCTTCTGAGTTTTCATGTGTCATTATTTCAAATGATTAGCTATTAATAAACCATTTTCTAAACTTCCTCTCAGACAAGTAACTTACATACAATTTCAGGAGAATAAAAGGCCTTTTGCACAAACTTCTCTAAACTGCACTCTTATGAAGTAACAACAGATGCAATAGCACTTCTCCAGACAAAAAGAAAACATGATGCAACAACCACAAAAGAAAGTCAACATCCAACCAGTCAGAAACTGATAAGCATTGAGTAATTGCTCATATGTAGATTTCAGAGAACATCTTTGACCCTAGGATGCTTTTTATTATCGATGCCCTTGGAATTCCGGGGTTCTCTTCTTAATCCACTATATAAAAAGAAAAACCCCAGTTATATGATTAAGTTCTTCGTGGTGAAAATTTTTCAGGCAAGTCTGTGGGTGTTAGAACATCGCTGAATCATGTTAAGATCTTTTTTTCTCACTTTTACTTTAATCTGAATTAGATCGAGTATTTTAACTACATAGTGCTGCATATATTGGACACTAGTTAATGAAAATATAAATTAGAGATGTACATTAGTCTAACTTTCTTATATCCTCAGTTGAAAGAAGATAATTTCTGTATGGCTTAAAGAATACAACTCTCAATTCTAGAAGTTCAAATAATCACATTTCTGAAGTAACACTAAAGAGAGTTTATAGTAACCTCCAAATGTTTCACATGAACAAAATATAGGGACCATCTTTAGAACAGTACACGTTAATGGAGGGTCAGCTATAGCTACTTAAAGCCACCCAGATTTGTTCATCCTAATACTCATTGCAAATGTAATGGTTATTCTAGCACAAGACAAGTCTTCAGCTAAACAGTACCTGATGGCTGTTGGTACCAGCAACAAACTTACGGTGATCATCTTTACTCAGGAATGTTGCAGACGTAAACCAAGTAGGAGTAAAAATACCAAGGTTGTTCTTGGCAGTCTGCAAGGACCAAAAACAACCATTAGATCAAACAGGAAGGAACAACATCCATATGTATCTCTCATGACAAACAAAAATTCTTTAGAAAGACGAAAGGCACTCACAGGTTTTGCGGTCCATATCTTAGAACATTTTTCAAGATCCCAGACATTAACTTCCACACTCTTCCTGAATTGAAAAATTAATCATTGATAAGGTCCTTGAACTGCAAATTAGTATAACTTGCCACCACAGAATAACAAGGAAGAACCTTTAAAAGTGTATTGAAGATTTATTTAACATAAGATAAATGAACTAACCCTCCAAATAACGCAAACTTATCAGTGCTATCTACTTTTGAGCATAAGATGTTGCCAGTGTTACATACTTTCCACATTTTCACAGAGCCAATAGATGAAGACTCAGCATGTAAATCAGCAACATCAATGCACCTCAAGCTTGCATTTCCTTTTGCTGTACATGTAAATATGTTGCAGGTCCTGGTAACAATCAATTTAATGGAGACTGGTGTTACATACAAAATTGACACAAGCAAAATAGATCTTTAACCTTAAATAAACATCATATAGGGAACAACCATCCCTGTAAAGAAAATTTCACGAACATTAGCATAAATAGGTAGCTAATTTAAGAACTAATTGCAGAAACTATACTATGGAGGAGGAAAACATTATATGGTTCTTGCTAGAAGAATAAACTGAAATATTATTACGTGTTGTTCTTGCTATAATGATGAAGGAATAGTGTACAATACAAAACCTAAACATATAGAGTATTGGCTATATAGGAATACTTTGGGAAATAACTTATTACTTGGATTGACTATATAGTAAATATTCCTATTCTCTAACACTCCCCCCTGAGATAAAGCTTGTTATAGAGAAGTTGAAGTAAATACAAAAACTAAAACTGAATTTAAAAAAAAAATTGCAGCTTGATGAATTTCATAAGTGCATTTAACAAGATAGATGAGTTCCATAAAACCGTCCACCCAAACAAGTTAGACCAACAACTTGCAATGAATTCAACAAAGGCTTTAAGAATAGTGCAAGCAAACAAGTGTTTCCTTGTTACGAACAACTAGGTACCATTTACGACCAACAACATCAGTATACCTTCCATGAAAAACAACTGCAAACCGTCTCACCAACTTTTTTTTCTTGAGATAATTTTTAAACGTCAATGATGGGTGAGAGAGGCTCATACTCTCAACCTCAGCATTTCTCGAAGCTATGAGACCTATGTGCTAGCCAACTGTCTCACCAACTTTAATAAAAGACTACCAAAATACCTTTGCTGTTTCTTTAAGTAAGGCAACAAGCATTTATTCCCATCAAGCAACAAGCTCTAGACTTTTGTGTAACTAGTCCTCACTCCCTCATGCAGAGGTTTACAGTCTGTAATAACTTTTATGGGACGGCTTGTCCAATTAGAGAATATAGATATATAATATATGGTCAACTTCATGTAGAGTTAGATTTTATTCTTTGTTTTCCTATTCCTATTGACAGGTATCTCTATAACATCACACACTATTCCTTTAGCAAGGTATTAAAGCAATAGATTGTAGAGCATAGTAAATCTCACCTCCTTGTTCTGGTCACAAGCCACTTCTCCAGGAAATTTCTAGCCATTTACAATGAATACAAGAAGAAAAAGAATATATATACGTATATTGTCATCTATTTTCTCTGGGTCACATCTTCATCATGGATAACTAGAAAAAGAGGCATCCATGTCATAAACCATTGCCCCTCTTACCTTTGTGACAATGAATCCCTCAACCATGGTGTCGAAGGAGGAGAAGGTTATGCGATTCTGTTACTAATTTGATGGGCATTCATTGAAAACTTACTGGCTTCATGCCATTTGATTTACTAGGTTGGTACAATATTTGAGCAGTCATGAACAAGATGTTCATTACCCTCATCCCTCAGTCTTTTTTTGGATGGTCTGGAGAGAAAGAAATA